ATATGGTCTATGCTACAACGGCCGAAGTACCAACCGCTGTTCATGGCGGTGTGTACGCGATTGGAGCAGGTGGTTACGGAGGGTTTTTTCAACATAGGTGGCAGCATAACCTACGGATCGATCCACCACCCCTTCGACATAGGCATAGTGTCGGTCTAAAGGACTCTATTGTTGCCGATTTGTCAATTTTTATTTCATGATTTTTTATCATACTTATAGATTTGGCTGTGTGCAACTTAGTTATGCAGTGGTCGGGTGTTACACTTTGTATCCGTTTGGTGCTATATTTTGAGATAATAAAGTTGTCCTTTATCGAAAAAATGAGGTGGTTTGATGCATGACGTTTGATTCAAAGCAAGGGGCTAACACATGGAGCACTACAGTTTCAACTCTTATAGTATATATATTTTTTAATGTCAACTTTGTGTAATTTCTAATGTTTAGCATGGGATTCACTGATTGCAAACAAACATCTTTAACATTGCATCTACCAAATATAAATTCATTCTCAAGTGGAAAAACAATAGATAGGGCAGTGAATAAGCCCCAGCTACCAAAATAGTAAGTTATTAAATTTATGTAAGGATGAATTAAATATCAAATAAGTTAGAATGAGATTAACAATGCATCTTTATGATCAAATACACTGAGGCCAGGGATGGTTCCCTCGCCCCCCTTGCCTCACTTCCACCTCCACCGAGGTTCAGCAGATCATATCTGCCCACAGCAATTTAAATCACTTACAAGCCAGGGTTTAAATGTAACTCATAATTACTATGGACTCCAAACTGGAAAAAAAAACCAAGAAACAGTGAAAAAAGGCACAGATCACAAGCTCACAATAAGCAACCATGTTCTTGTTAGGATGCGAAGTATTTTTGAAGTTTTCTAACATATTATGATACCTGAAAAAACATAGTCTAAAATAATACAACTGTTATGGTGATTGACGATTTTAGGAGCCGTCCATCCACCCTGATCTGACGGTGGAAAAAATACAAGTTACGAGGAGTTGCGGGATTAAAATTGCGAGAAATTACATTTAATTGTGGGACCGTTACAAAATTTAGGTGGGACCAATTAATTTATGAAAGGATAGATCTGTCATCAGGGCACTAGGCATCAGCTATCCCGTGGGATAGAAAGCAAGATTAACTGGATCTGAAGTTTAAGGCCGCCCAAGATTAGCTCCTTCCGTTGGCTAATTGAGTGCGTACAATGGGATAATACAACGAGGGCATGGTAGGCAGTTCGCATGCAGTTCCACCCCTACAAATTACGCCAGGTTTAACAGCTTTTTGTGCTTCCTCTATATTCTTTAGTTTTTATTCCAAATCTAAAAAAACATGCACCAGAAGCATGCATGATACTGACCATGGGGAAGCGCCACTACGACCATGCCCGGGGGTTCGCCTCCAGGACCTCGCGGCGGCGGCGCCGTCTCCCAGGTCCTCGCGGCGGCGCCTTCCTCTCGTGAGATGGGTTGGACGAGATCAGTGGCGGACCCAGGACAAAAATAATCCGGAGTCTCATCTCTATCACATATATGTCGATATCAAGCAATTATATAGATAAAAGTAACACACTTATAATAATACAATATACCAAGAATACAATATAACGTTGAATATGCTTACCAGAGATCCAAAATAAAGAGTTTCACTTGAAATATTAGTTGATAGTAGGAAATTGAACATTGAAGAAAAACCAAAGTGTCCAAATTATGAATAAAGTATGACCGATGACCACAAGAAAATGCAACACTAGATCTTGATTGCCTACAAATCAAAAGAAACAAAACCACTTAGTAGCATATTAATAACAGTTGTGCAATAAAAAGTCCGATAAACCAAGGGATAGACAATATGTTTTCTTGTCTCCATTTTTTAAGAGAGCTCACAAATATTACTTAAACCAGAGGAGCGATCATCTGCTTGGGCACAACAATGTCAAGATGAAGGTTTTGTCTAAGGTCCCTAAGTTCTCCATCATCAAAATCTTTTGGATAAAATTTAGCAAGACTCATCAAATGCACTATGTTGAAATCACGAAATAATTCATTTGGGCTCAAAGTCGCCGAGCAAACAAACAGTTCAGAATTTTTCTCCGTAAAGCTATTATCAAGTTCTTGAAGCAACTAATCAATAGCATCATTAAAACAATCCACTTAAGAATAAGTACAAGGTTGAAAGGCCCATTGGCCAAATATTTCCTTCTTACCAAATCTTGCTGATTTGGATGGTACTCATCAATGCTTCTCCTTTTACCTCGATCAAATCTAGTTTCTTCTTCCCAATTGATCTCTTCTTCAGCTTGAAATGAACTCCTTGTATTATTGGCAGAACTCCATATCTGGAGGCATCATTTTGTCCATGTGGTGATGGTGGGGCCGGGACATCAATCTGTTCATGCGGTGAGGCATTACTTTGTCCTTCTGATGGTGGCGGGACAGAGACATCATTCTGATTATGTTCGTGTGACGGACCAATATTTTCATTTTGCACTGAGGTTCTCCTCTTTTTTAGAAACTTTCCATAAACCGAGCTTCACCTGAAATTTATTCAGATAATTATAAAATTTGTAATTTATTCAGATAATTATAAAATTTGCAAGGAAGAAAATAACCATGAATCATGTGTACACAGAATACTTGAATGTAACATAAAAATTACTTGATATTGTGTTGGCGTCCTAGAGTGTTGCAATATTGGTCTCCACTCGGTGCACAATTATTTAAAGTAGTCCAATTATCCAATACAATCAAAATCTCTAGTCTTATTCAGTAGCCCTAATTCCCTAGGGTTAGAGGAAAAAATCAATAATTAGAACTGGATATGCAATCGAGGCTGAGGCACGCCGCATTGGGTTTGGGGACTGATGCAGCCTACCTGTTCCTTCTTTTCTTCACTGGTTCGATGACTTGCCGTGATATGGTGATAGGCGGCGAGTACGGCATACGGGGGGATACGGACGAAAGCGAAAGGTCAAGGCCTCAAGGGCACAAAGCGCAGCGTGGAGCAGACGAACAGGAAGGCACGCATCGATCAATTGATCGATCAATCTACTGCATGCATCAATCTACAAGTTGGACTGGGCCTTCGTCACGCGCCAGGCTGCACTTGCGTTGTGCTGGGTGGAGCCTGGTTGTACGGGTGTCCCCCTAGAAAAATTAGGGGTGTCCCAGTGTACGTGGGCTCTATAGTTATAAGGTAAGACATTTTTTTACCCGGTGTCCTGTGCTACCTGCTGGCACAACGTGGGCTCGCCTTGATGCAAAGTATTTTTGAAGTTTTCTAACATATTATGATTCCTGAAAAAACATAGTTTAAAATAATACAACTGTTATGATGATCGACGATTTTAGGAGCCGTCCATCCACCCTGATCTGACGGTAGAAAAAATACAAGTTACGAGGAGTTGCGAGATTAAAATTGCGAGAAATTACATTTAATTGTGGGACCGTTACAATTTAGGTGGGACCAATTAATTTGTAAAAGGATAGATATGTCATCAGGGCACTAGGCATCAGCTATCCCGTGGGATAGAAAGCAAGATTAACTGGATCTGAAGTTTAAGGCCGTCCAAGATTAGCTCCTTCCGTTGGCTAATTGAGTGCGTACAATGGGATAATACAATGAGGGCATGGTAGGCGGTTCGCATGCAGTTCCACCCCCACAAATTACGCCAGGTTTAACAGCTTTTTGTGCTTCCTCCATATTCTTTGGTTTCTATTCCAAATCTAAAAAAACATGCACCGGAAGCATGCATGATACTGACCATGGGGAAGCGCCACTACGACCATGCCCGGGGGTTCGCCTCCAGGACCTCGCGGCGGCGGCGCCGTCTCCCAAGTCCTCGCGGCGGTGCCTTCCTCTCGTGAGATGGGTTGGACGAGATGTGAGGGATTGGCAGAGCGAATTGACAAAGTTTCAGAAAAAAACCAGGACCATAATGCCCACATAATATTTTTAATTAACATGTTAAAATCAAGGGTGGAAAATAATCAAAGGGAGAGTTACATGAAATTACATATTATAACTCGCCAATCACCGTAAAAGAGCTTGCTTACAAGAAATACCAGCTCAAGGCACACTTTCACTCTGTAAGCTATGGTATTCTCAATTCTGTGGTTCTTTTTGGAGTATTAAAAAATCCACCTCCTCGTCAATTCCATCTACGTCTGGTTGATCTGGACTGGACACGGGTGCCCCTATACCCTCAATGAACAGTAGATTCAAAACAAATTCAAAAAAAAAAATCTGAAACTTTAGGACATCGAACATCATGAAACTTTTGATAATCTTGTAAAGTTTTAGCTAAAAATAACATTCGAAGAGCACTCAAATAAAAAAACAAAACTGTGTTTCAAAGTTTATGTACATTTTTTAGCAGTGATTTTTTTATGAGGGCTCCACGAGGTTATTTGTTGCTAAAACTTTGCAAGAACATCAAACCTTTGATAATCTTTGAGCCCTGAAAGTTTCAGATTTTTTTGATTTTTTTTTTATTTTATATGAATTTACTGTTTATGAGGGTGTAGGGGCACCCGGGAGCTGTTCTATAATAAATACAATAATTTCTAATTTGGGTGTAATCCAGATAGTTTTTACTAGTATCTACTCCCTCCGTTTCTAAATATTTGTCTTTTTAGAGATTCAAATGAACTATCACATGCGAATGTATATAGACATATTTTAGAGTGTAGATTCACTTATTTTACTTCGTATGTAGTCACTTGTTAAAATCTACAAAGACAAATATTTTTAGAGGAAAGGCATCGGCCGAGCCCGAGACAAGGCTCGAACCTAGCCCGGCTTTGAATTAACAAAGCCATCAACCGGCCAGGATTACATTGATCAACCACATACATGCAACATGAAAAAGAAAAAAAAAGGAAGACACTGAGGCAGAACAACCTCAGGCGGTCGATACAAGGTGCAAAACAGGACAGTGCACAAACCTAAGACTACACAAGCAGCTACCAAGATGAAACTGAAGAACTAAGCTTGATCAGTCAAGGTCTTCGTCCACCGAAGCAACCAGCACTGGACAAACATCGAACTTGCGGAAAGCAACAATGTGAAAGGAGAAGGCCCAAGTCCACTCCAGCATGATGAACAACCTGGGCATAATGAAATCCGTCTTCGTCGCCGTAGGAGGCCACAACCTTCTCGTCGTCGGCAGGCGAAATGATTCCCCAAGAACCCGAATTCACAAACGGCAACCAGGTGTACCATGGGAGGGTCTGCAACAGACCATATTGTGCTCCACAAGAAACTTCAGTTGCCATGGCACAACCACGAAGGAGACGCGCACTGCAGGATAGGAACGCGAACCAAATCGACACGGCGGGAGGTTGATGAAGAGCAATGCCGCCACTGCAGCCACCAATACATCCAAATTCGACATCCACCCCGCAGCCCAAGGACGACGCCTTCAGGAAGGGGAACGGTGCCGTAGCGCCGCCGTCGTCCTGAAGCAGGACCAAGGTTTTCACCTAGATGCAGGGGCGGATGGGTGGGGGTGGGATACCTCAACGAAGCCTCCAAGAAGTAGTTCGACGCCGCGGCATCGTCGTCGTTGTGGCCGCTGCCGGCGGCCAAGGGTTTCCCCTGGTCCCAGGAGCCCCACCGCCGAAACACCGCCAACCATCGGATCCGGCGAGCAGGGCCGCACCGGAGCTGAGATCGAACGGGAGAAGGAGAGGAGGGTGGAGTTGGAGCTGGTCGATTCAGATCTGGAGGCCGACCGACGGAGGAAATCCGGCCACCGCGAGCTCCATCCACCGGGGCCTCGCCGCCCAAGCAAGCCGAGGAGCCCAGCCGAGCACCCGCAGCCGCCGTCCGCCGCAGGGAACAGCGCTGCCCACCTTGACCGGGGCCGCCACCCTGGCACACCATGCCCTCCGCGCGAGGCGAGAGCGGCAAACCTCGCCGCCACCTTCCTTGGCGCCGCGCGGGCTTGTCGACGGCTGTCTTCGGTGGCGGCAAGGTCGGGAGGGAGGAGGGGAGAGGCCGACGGCGGGCTAGGGTTGGGGGCCGCCCGAGTCGCCCCAAGGGAGCGACGCGGGGGCGGCTGAGGGAGAGACCAGCACCTGCATTCATGAGAAAGACAAATATTTAAAAACGGAGGGAGTAATATGTAAATCAGCATGTAATTTCCCTAATGCATCCAATAATTCTATGCAGTACAATACAAGCCATAATTTTACATAACTAAATCATCAATCATGCGAAGCCTGCAACTTAAGAGCTAACTTCCTGCTCTATAAGAGCAACTTCAATGGGACGACCCATTTCGTCCGCCGCCGTTCATTTGGGTCGGCGCGGACAGAAAAATCGGCCCAACGCGCCGACCCAAACGAACGCGCGTCCGCTTTCGTCCGCGAGCGACCCATTTCCGGTCCATTTTTTAGGCGGATTTGCGTCTGCGCGGACACGCGACGGACGCGCGCATGCTCGCCTTTTCCTCTTCCCTGGCCCGCTGGTCGGTGGCTCATTGGCCTCCCTTCACCCCCCAGCCAACAGCAACCCTCGCCTGCCTCCTTCGTCGCCGACGCCGCCGCCCTTTTTTGCTAGCGACTCTGCCAGCTGCCGCTGCCTCCATATCCGTCCAGCTACACCGCTCACTCCCCCCGTCGCCCCGCCACCACCGTCTTGCTGTCGGGAAGCAAATTGTTTCCCACCGCCGCTCCCCCAACCGCACAGCCGCCCGCGACCAAAAGGCTGCCTCGCCCGGCCAGATCCTCACCGGCACGCTCATCGGACGCCGGCCCACTCGTCGGACGTTGGCCCACTCATCGGACGTCAACAGGGCAGCTAGCTAGTCCGTGCGCGCCGCGACTCCCCTCGCCGGCCGTCTCCTTCTTCAACGCCCGCAAGTTGTTCGACAGTTTGCCAAGGTACGAAAATGGACTCCGCCGATGAGATCTTTTTCCACAATTTCCTTTGCGACTTCGACAATTCGTCGTCCGACGACGAGGAGGAGATATTGGGTGCCGTGTTGACCCATCACCACCTCAACAGCCAGCGGCCGTTGTTTCGTGGCTCCATTCTTGGCCACCTTCCGGCGTTGAATCGCAACCGAGAGAGCGGGCATCGCCTACCATTGCAAAACTATGTGAAACATTTTTATTTGTATCCGGCTTGTAAAACTATAATATTTTTATTCGGTAAAACTATGTTATTTGACAATATGTTTGAATGCAAATCAATGTAAATATTGGGCGACCGGCATATATGGGTCGGCGCATTGGGCGCGCTGCCGACCCAAATCTAAAAAAGGACTGACGCAGGGCGGGCGGCCGATCCAAACGGACAAAAAGCTGACGAAATTGCCGTTCGTTTGGGTCGGCCCGTTGGAGTTGCTCTAACTTCCACAAGGGATCCATCGTGGCTCTTCTCACTTTGGCACAGCTCTTCCAATGGTTTCACCAGACCACATTCTTCCTGAAACAGGTACGGCGGAAGCATTGGGTCATACTCCTCCTCATGCTGCTCTTCTTCTTCTTCTGAAGTCCTTGCTATACCATTCATCCGATGAACAGCCTCCTTCATTTCCTTGCGTAGATCTCTATGTTTTTTGCTGTCCTCCCTTCTCCTCCGCAGGCGCTCCAGCTTCTCCCCCTCTTGCTCATGTCTTTGGAGCATGAACTCCTCTGGGCTGCACACCAGCTCCTCACTCCCCTGATGATCATGTTTCTCACGCTCAATATTTTTGTCTTGCTCCTCCTGTAAATACAGCTGGTAAAGTTTGTTGATCAGATTCTTGACGGGGACATTGATGTCTATGAAATCAAGACCAGCCGGGGCGTACAGTGGAATCTCCTCGAAGTTTTCAGAGACATGGAAGTACTGCTCGGTAAATCTCAGGGGCATTGCGGCAGACGGCCGGGACGTGCAACACAAAGAGGATGTCATCAAGCTTAACACCAAGTCCATGAACATAGGACATGACAGAAATCCCCTCACCACCAGGCAACCTCTTGATAACAGCGACATCCCTGAGAGGCACAGAAGAGCCTTCCTCGAAGATACCCTCCTTGGGCCGCGGCCACCCACTGTATGTGGCATCCATGAAGTAGGAGAGGGCACCTGGCTGCCCGCCTTCCCCTGCCTGCTCTACATGAAATCCCTGAGTTCCTGTGCCCAGGCGTGCGACACGTAAAGCATCGTGCATCGCTCGCTCCCGGGGGAAGCGGGGATGCTTCTTCATCGACCACGATATCTGCGCCGTCTTGGTCGACACCTTCACATTGATGAGAAAGAAGGGGCATTTGGGGTCCTGTCTTCGACCGCCTCTCTTCTCGGTGACAGAATATTGGGGTTTGGGGGGGCACTCCCACTCCCTCAGCTGGGTGTCCTCCAATGGATTAGCGAAGGAGGTGAGTAGCTGCTCCAGCAGGGTAGCATACACCTTCTCTCTTGCCATTAGCCATGTTTTCATGGCCGCCTCGAGAACAGCGTCGGCTGGTATCCTGTTCTGCACGAGGACATGGCAGGCCAAATCGGCGTTGTTGTTCACATAGTTTGTGGCGAAGGAGAGGATCTGCTCGACCTCCATCTCCATGCCGGCCTTTGTCCCACTCCGAACGGCGAGAGAGATGGCCTCCATCTTCTCCTCGTCTGTTTTTTGTTTTTTTTTTGATAAAAGAGAGCTTCCTCTCCGATTTTCATTAAAAGAAATCACCAAGTTATACAACTAGCAGAAATTTGAGCAAGGAAACAAAGTTGTCTCCTCCCTTGGTCCCTGTCAGCACTGTATTGAGGTAGGAGGGAGGCCATCCCTTCCCCTGCCCACAAGTCCTCAAAACAGTGCAGAACTCCCCAAAGGGGAAACCTAAGGCCTGGGCTCAAATCTGGTCCCAGCACCAGCATTACAAAGTTTTAAAAGTCTAGAACAGAAACTAAGAAGCGATAACAGAGCAGTTTTTTTAGAGAAAAGGCCAGAGCCCGACTTTATAAATAAAACCACATGGCAGCGTCACGAATACCCAAGGTTCACACAGTCTCAGAAACACAAAGAGAAGTTAAATAGGCCCAAATCCCTAACGAAACAGGCAGCTGCCAAACACGGCACGCAGGCCGGGGAGAGAAGGAGACCTAATCCCGCAAACTACAGCACCAGGCTTATACGCCATGATTCGTCCCGGAGATCTGAGAGGCTGAAGCCCGAATTTTGGCGATGAGCAGGTCCAGGGCGTCCCGATCTGGCTCCTTAGTCAATAATCTCCACTGCTGCAAGAATATACATGATTTGAAAAGAACGTCAGCAGGCTTAGATGGGAAGGTAAGTTCAATAGTAAATTTGTTTCTAATGGTCCAAAGAGCCCAACATAAGGCTCCCAAGCCAACCCAGAATACCCTCTTGGTGACCCCTACCAGAGATTTGGCTAGGGTTCTAGTGTCTGCGAAAGAGGAGGGATCCCAGGAGACCCGAAGCCATGATCTTACGCAAGACCAAACTAATTTGGCAAGAACACAGTTGAAAAAGATGTGATTAGAGTTTTCCAAAGCCCCACACAAGTTACAGAATTCCGAGCCCGGCCCATTGCGTTTTTTGATCTGATCAGCAGAAGGAAGGCGACCTCGGAAGGCTTGCCAGAGGAAAATCTTAATCTTAGGAGGGACCTTAGATTTCCAAATACAAGAGAAGCGAGCCGAAGTAGTACCACCAATGAGTCTAGAATACAACGATTTGACCGAGAATAGCCCAGAGGCCGTAAGTGGCCAAACCACAGAGTCAGCCTCCTCCGAGAGCACAGGGAAGAGGGCAGAAAGATTTTGCCATTCTTCCAACTCTTCAGGAGACAGGGCCCGACGAAAAGCCAAGTCCCAATTATTAGCAGCCACCTCCGCGATGGAGATTTGCGGATTGGGGCTATAATAGAACAGAACCGGAAAGCTAACAGCCAGGGGAGCATCCCCGGACCACCAATCTAACCAAAAACGAACAGCAGACCCATTACCCACACAAAACTTAACGTGCTCCAAAAAAACCGGCCGAACTTTAATAAGGGCTTTCCAAAACTGCGAACCACGCCGCGCAGGGGCAAACATAGGGTTGGAGTTAGGAAAATATTTAGCCTTAAGAATCGAAAACCACAGCACATCGGCCCCAACCGTCATAATTTTCCACCACCACTTAATGAGCAGACAAATATTCATCACCCGAGTATTAATAATGCCTAACCCCCCAAGGTTTTTAGGCTTGCACATAAGCTGCCACTTAACCAACCTATACTTCCTTTTGTTATCTGCAGAATTCCAATAAAAGCCACCCCTATGTTTGTCGAAGCCAGCATGCACACCATCCGTGAGACGGTAAAAGCCCATAAGGAACAACGGGAGAGAGGATAAGCAAGAATTGATTAGAGCCACTTTGCCAGCATTGGTATTATACCTACCCCTCCAAGGAAGCACCCTATTCCCCACTTTAGCAACCACCGGAGCGAAGTCTTTCGCGTGAAGCAGACCAGGAGAGATAGGAAGACCTAAATATTTGAAAGGAAAGGAACCTAAGGAGCAGTTGAGGAGTCTGGCCACCCGCAAGGCCTCCGCCCGGTCAACCCCCGTCACCATAACCTCACTCTTGGCGAAATTGATCTTAAGACCAGAAACAGCTTCGAAGCACAACAGAATAAATTTCAGATTGGCAATACAGGCATTGTCCAACTCTACCAAGATGATTGTGTCATCCGCATATTGCAAATGAGAGACCCCTTCCGGAAGTAGGTGAGAGACCACAGGAATAATGTGTCCACATCGAGCCGCTTTGGAGAGCATACAGGAGAAAGCGTCAGCCACAAAGTTGAAAAGAACAGGGGAGGCCGGATCCCCTTGGCGGAGGCCCCTCCCATTCGCAAAGAAGTTGCTAATAGTGCCATTTACGGCAACTGCAGTGTGGCCACCCGAGACCAACTGCATGATACAGTGAACATAGGCACCGTCGATGTGACGCCCCCGATTCAATCGTACACTAATCATGCACGCAAATGTGTACGATCAAGATCAGGGACTCACGGGAAGATATCACAACACAACTCTACAAATAAAATAAGTCATACAAGCATCATAATACAAGCCAGGGGCCTCGAGGGCTCGAATACAAGTGCTCGATCATAGACGAGTCAGCGGAAGCAACAATATCTGAGTACAGACATAAGTTAAACAAGTTGCCATAAGATGGCTAGCACAAACTGGGATACAGATCGAAAGAGGCGCAGGCCTCCTGCCTGGGATCCTCCTAACTACTCCAGGTCGTCGTCAGCGGGCAGCACGTAGTAGTAGGCACCTCCAGTGTAGTAGGGGTCGTCATTGACGGTGGCGTCTGGCTCCAGGGCTCCAGCATCTGGTTGCGACAACCAGGAAGGAAGGAAAGGGGAAAATGGGGGGGAGAAAGCAACCGTGAGTACTCATCCAAAGTACTCGCAAGCAAGGAGCTACACTACATATGCATGGGTATATGTGTAAAGAGGCCATATCAGTGGACTGAACTGCAGAATGCCAGAATAAGAGGGGGATAGCTAATCCTGTCGAAGACTACGCTTCTGGCAGCCTCCGTCTTGCAGCATATAGAAGAGAGTAGATTTAAGTCCTCCAAGTAGCATCTCCAGTAGCATCGCATAGCATAACCCTACCCGGCGATCCTCCTCTCGTCGCCCTGTAGAAAAGCGATCACCGGGTTGTCTGTGGAACTTGGAAGGGTGTGTTTTATTAAGTATCCGGTTCTAGTTGTCATAAGGTCAAGGTACAACTCCAAGTCGTCCTGTTACCGAAGATCACGGCTATTCGAATAGATTAACTTCCCTGCAGGGGTGCACCACATAGCCCAACACGCTCGATCCCATTTGGCCGGACACACTTTCCTGGGTCATGCCCGGCCTCGGAAGATCAACACGTCGCAGCCCCACCTAGGCAAAACAGAGAGGCCAGCACGCCGGTCTAAACCTAAGCGCACAGGGGTCTGGGCCCATCGCCCATAGCACACCTGCACGTTGCGAGGGCGGCCGGAAGCAGAACTAGCCCCCTTAATACAAGAGCAGGCTTACATTCCAATCCGGCGCGCGCCGCTCCGTCGCTGACGTCTGAAGTGCTTCGGCTGATACCACGACGCCGGGATACCCATAACTACTCCCGCGTAGATGGTTAGTGCGTATAGGCCAGTAGCCAGACTCAGATCAAATACCAAGATCTCGTTAAGCGTGTTAAGTATCCGCGAATGCCGAACAAGGCCAGGCCCACCTGTCTCCTAGGTGGTCTCAACCTGCCCTGTCGCTCCGCCACAAAGTAACAGTCGGGGGCCGTCGGGAACTCAGGCCCACCTCTACCTGGATGGAGCCACCTGCCCCTTCAGCCCCCATCTCCAAACAGTATCACCAGTAATGTAACAGTGTAAAGTATATAGTATATGCCCGTGATCACCTCCCAAGTGATCACGGCCCGATAGTATAGCAAGGCAGACTGACAAGAATGTAGGGCCAATGATGATAAACTAGCATCCTATACTAAGCATTTAGGATTGCAGGTAAGGTATCAACAGATGTAGCGACAATGTCAGGCTATGCATCAGAATAGGATTAACGAAAGCAGTAACATGCTACACTACTCTAATGCAAGCAGTATAGAGGAGAATAGGCGATATCTGGTGATCAAGGGGGGGGCTTGCCTGGTTGCTCAGACAAGGAGGGGTCGTCGGTGACGTAGTCGTACTCGGTGGCATCAGCGTCGGTCTCGTAGTCTACCGGAGAGAAGAGGGGGAAGAAATAATGAATACAGAGCAAACAAAGCATCACAAAATATAACAAGGCAATACGCGGTGTTCGGTGTGCCCTAACGCGGTAGTAGGTGATACCGGTGAAGGGGGGAAAACATCCGGGAAAGTATTCCCGGTGTTTCGTGTTTTCGGGCAGAGGAGCCGGAGGGGGAAAGTTGCGGGTTCGATAGGTTAGAGGGGTGTGGCGGACGAACGGACTGCGTATCCGGACTCGTCTCGTCGTTCTGAGCAACTTTCATGTTGAAAACATTTTAATCCGAGTTACGGATTAAAAGATATGATTTTCTAAAGATTTTATTAATTTCTGGAATTTAATTACTTATTTAATTAATTCGAAAAAATGTATTTATGACGTCAGCATGATGTCATGCTGACGTCAGCAGTCAACAGGGGTTGACTGGGTCAACCCTGACATGTGGGTCCCGTTCGTCAGTGACTGTTAACTAATTACCCTAGTTTAGTTTAATTAACAGTAGTTAATTAGGTTAATTAGCCATTAGGTTAATTAATCAGGATTAATTAAATTAATTATTTACTTAATTAATTAATTAATTGATGTTTTAATTATATTAGTTATTATTCATTTATTTATTTAATATATTTATTTATTTATTTTATTATTATATTTT